CATTCCTTTGTAAAGTATCAAGCAAGCAACCAATAAATCCCCACATGTAATTAATACATCAAAATTTTGTGGACTTATTTCTAGTTGGAAAAAAATAACCAATATTTAATTTGTGAGACAAAGAAAATTCTGAATTCCTTGTTAAGATTTAGCTCTTACCATATCAAATGTTTAACTGATGCTTCCCTACAGAATTGGAATAACTGTATTTCTGTCTGCACTGATGGTCTTTAAAACATATATTTAAGTTCATCCACCCACCCACTAGGAAATAAATGACTTTATTATCTTATTAAGAATCCAAGGGGCTGGGATTGTGGTTTAGTGGTAGAGTGTTTACTAGCATGCATGAGGCACTGGGTTTGATCCTCAGCACCACATAAATGTAAAATAAAGATATTGTGTCCACCTAAAAATTTTAAAAAAAGAATACTGTAAAATTTCTGTTACTTCACAGTGCAGGCAGACCTGTTACCTGTGTGCCTATGAATATTATCATTTTCTAGTATTATGATGTGAAAAAACATTGGAAAGCTTTAGATAAGATGATGTGTTTGGTTTTTAGACTGGACTTTCTTAAGTTAACTTCTTTAAAGACTCTGATTTGAAATATAAACCTACTACCAGACAACCCATTTAATCTACTCGCTGGCCTCTTTAAAATGACATTCTAAATCACTTTCCCCTTTACTTAAATTTTGTATACCCATTTCAGAGGTATACAGAGAATTCCCTTTCCCTTGTTTTTTTTTTTTTCCTAAATATCCAGAATTTATCCTAAAGGTCATTTCTTCATATAAATCCTCCAGTTGATCTTCTTACTTTATTAAATATTCTTCAAATCAAATGTCTTCCTACATTCTAGGTGAAGGTAACTGACAACAGTTTTTACTGCCATAATTTAATATCAGAACATATAGTTTCAAAAAAATCTTGTTCATTATAAGTATAGTAATTTGTTGTTATAGTAAGACAGACTTGTAATTTGGGTCTATCTGAAGGAACATGTGTACTATTATAATTCCATCTTTTTGTGGTACTTGACATTGAACCTAGGGGTACTGTGCCACTGAGCTATATCCAGCCCATCCCCCTGCTTTGCTTTTTCTTTTGAGGCACAAGGTCTTACTTTGCTAAATTAACCAAGCTGACCTAGAACTTGTAATCCTCCTGCCTCAGCCTCCTAAGTGGCTAGGATTGTAGATCTATACCACCCACCCAGCTAACTCCATCTTTTCTCAAAGACAATTACATGTTCAGAGACTTGTCAAGTTCTAATGTGATTATTACCTTACTCTTTTCCAAAATATCACCATATGAACTCAGGATTAGGAGTCCTTATTCTCCAGCATATACTTCCTCTTGAATCTTGCTCCCACCTTCACAGATGAGTAAGAAACTTATATGATTTTGATTATCTTTACAGAAATCAAGGTTGTTTACCTATAGACGTGGTCCCCTAATGTTTTATCAGTCATGTCAAGATTTGCTTCTACTGTTGTTCCTTGTATAGTTCTTGATTTTGCTAATCTCTGCTCCAAGTTCTTAATTGGAATGATCATATACTTATCATTCAAATCAAGATACATAAGAGTGAAAGGAGGCACCAAAAATAACTAAAATAGGACTGGAGTTGTGGCTCAGTGGTAGAACACTTTTGCCCAGCATGGGTAAGGCACTGGGTTAAATCCTCAGCACCACATGTAAATAAAAAAAGGTATTGTATCCATCTACAATTAAAAATATTTTTTAAATAACTAAAATCATATAATTTTTGATGTTTACTGACCAATGAAATCTGACATATTAATAAACCTACAAAATCATTATATTCAAAAATTATTTTTCAAAAATAAAATTCTGACCATGCAATAGATCTAAAACTAGAATGTCTCAAGGAAATTGGAATGAAATATTATTACAAAATACATTAACACCTCTGTATCCACAGGCTTTGCATCTAAGATTCAATCAAATACAAATTGAAAATAATAAAAAAATTGTGCTGGTATTAAACAAATACAAATGCTTTTTTCCTTGACATTATTTCCTAAACAACACAGTATAACAACTATTTACATACATTTACATTGTATATGTACTAAGTGTTCTAAGTAATCTAGAGATGGTTTAAGTATATGAGAGGATATGTGTAAGTTATATACAAATACTATGCCATATTTTTTTTAAAGACTTAAACATCTGCATATTTTGGTATCTTCTGGGAGTACCTAGAACCAGTCCCCCATGTATACAGAGACATGACTGCAAATGTAACATTAAAGTAGAATAAAAAAGCATACTCTGAAAAGGATTAAGCTGTAGGGGTAGGCTTGAACTTCTCTAATACTTAACCATTAAAGCATTATGGCAGTTCAGTAGTAAAGCATCCCTGGGTTCAATCCCCCATACTAAAAAAAAAAACTTTGTTTTCCACTGTAGCCATTGATATAGTGCCCATATAAACTGACTAAATTATGTTTATATATAAGACTTTTTTTCTGTGATATAAACATGAAATAAGAAAATCATAGACTCAAATGAATCTCAGAGATTCTGTTATTCTATACACATGTATAATCTTAAGATATTAATCTTAAAATCTTGATAACAACCTGTATTAATTAAGTTTGCTATATAATTACAAGTAGTTTTACAGAAAAGCTTTGGTATTAAGTCAATAAGTATTAAAGTCCATGATAATCTTCCTTGGAAAAATTGAGTTACCTTTGGTGTTCATGGGCTGTAAAATCATGCCTAGAACACTTTTGCTTGCTTTTATCATTTCAAGGCAAGAGTAACACCTCACATTTACACACAGTACCTTATAAATCACAAGCACTTCATATGCATTACCTCATTTTATTCATTCCATATTTTTGTGAGATAAACAATGTTTTATAAAAGAACTGAAACTTAGACAGATTAAGAGAATTGCCCAAGATAACATTAAGTAGCAGAATTTCTAATAATAAATGGTAGCTGTTTAAGAGACAATCTTTAAAAGTATAATAATTTTCAAAATAATTTTTGTCCTATCCAAGAATTAATGGGCCATCTTTCACTTAATTAACTAAAATAAAATGTCTCTTCTAATGTCTTAAGTGGCTAGGAGTCACAATCAGAAAATATTTCAGTTCTAAAATAAGGAAATAAATTATAATAGACAGGAAACTGCTTAGTTATCTTTTATTAGGTAACCTAAGTATGAACTAGTATCCTAACCAAATAGTAGAAATCAAAATTATTTTAGAAATTAATTTTTTAGATGGCTCAACGAAAATTTTCTTTGGAAGAACTGTATAAGTACTCTGGGAAATGTAAGAAGGGTCAAAGGTGAGAAGAAGGAAAAATTTCAATCCCTCCACTAGCCTGTGCCAGTACACTCTTGGGAACATAGTACATTTCCAAGTGCTTTTGAATTCACAAAGTTCACAGGCATAAACAAATATTTTCTTTTTTCCCATTGTTCTTGCTAATAGCTATAGCTAGGCATGTATTAGTCTTTGTATAAACCTTCCATGTAGTATTTACTATTTAGAGAAAGGGTTATTCAAGTTTGTTTTTATTACATATTGACGACAGGTACCAGACTCATGCCACTGTTTATACTGATAAAATATGATGTAGTTCTAAAAGAAAAATGCCTATTATAATTGTTTACTGAAACATCTTAGCTCAAAAATTGTAAACAGGCTTAAAACTAAACGTAGCCTGAGGTCATTGATTGGAGGAGTTAATTTTCTCACAACAGTGTTACAACACTGATTTCAATTAACTGTCTTTATCTTATTACTACAATATTTCATGCTTTGTTTCTTTTTGAGTTGGAAACAACTTCACAAAGTATCTTTGAATGACTCAATAAAGTGTGTAATTACACAATTCAAAACATTTTTAATCCTTGAAGTATCTAGATCTGATATGCCACTTTTAAAAATCATCCATTGTTTTTTATGACTTAATCCTATATTTACCTGTTCTAGTACTGACAGGTTGTTTCATTGTTGGTAGACATGCTCAAAGTCTTGGTAAGTCAATGAAGTGATCAAAGTGCCTCTATCATTTAAAGTGAAAATATAAGTAAACATGACTCTTTATAGAATTTTGCTTTATATCTTAGAAACATTAGTTCATTTCCCCTAATTACAGATAAGTTGCTAGATAAGTTCTTAAAGAGTAGTAAAATGTTTGTATTCAATTTTTGTTGTTATATGCAGGCTGGGCAGTTGAGTTGGCCTACATGCTATTTCAAAAGTTTTTTTTATCAACTTTGTAATATGAACTCTACTTTCTTCATGCCTTGTATTCTTGAATTGCAATATTCAAACTCAAGTCATTTAAGTAGGCAGAAGAAAATAATGAGATTTCTAGGCAAAATGATTTGGCTATACCTTGGTGCTCTGAAGTGCAGGCATTTTGTAATCCTTAAATTATACCTTAGCTAAAACTTCCTATTCTGTCTTAAGCAAATCAGAATCTCCAGCAAGCCCTCTGTACAGCAGTAGATCAAATAAAAATAAGTTGGAACATAGAGTCTATTTGTTGAATGTTTTAGTTAACAAAATAAAATGTTACTCTAATAACATGAAATACTATAATTCCCTGATAGGAATACCTTAATAATTACTGGATAGTTACTTCCTCACCGATTCGATCTAATTTTATATACCTTAAGTACATATATCTTTTTTGTAACAAATCTTTATCAAAGTTTAGGGACAAAACAAAATAAGTATAACCTAGTAATTTAGAAATATCATTGAACATGGCTGTTCACAAATCCCTTGTAGTGAGGCTCTTTGTATAGCTCTTAGCATGCCTCCCTGTCCAGTAAGCAGGTTATAAAATAACCTACTTTTTTCAGGGGAAATTTCCCAAAGCACACCTCAGAATTCAGGCCCAGTTAATCTGATTTTAAAATCTTTCCCTTAGTAATTATAAAATTAGAGCCATTTAAAATGCATTAAAACCCTAATTTTCTTTAAATCTCTTACTAGGAACCAAGGTTACATTCTGTGAGAAGAAGCTTTTCTCAACCTTCATCTGTAGGTTTGAAACCTCGATATTCTCGAAGCCCACACTTTCATCCTAGAAAAGATTTCAGAGCAGAGGATTCAATTATTACTCCACCTTCCTCTACTGATTCTGTTAAGTAGAATCTTGAATAACTATTTTGTCCAACAGTAGTAAATAACTAGCCCCATATGTGGTCTACTAACAAATGAGGATTTGAGATGTGCTAAAGTTAAAAATGTTTTTGCTTTTTTAAGGGAATTAAAGAAATCTTAGTAGCCAGAATATTGGAGATGCAGGATTAAATCATGGTTTCCTTTATTAATTTATATACTTAACTAATGTAGGTTTGTAACCTATACCAAATATAAGAAAATTTATAAGACAACAAATATCTTGATTAAAGTTTGGAAAATTTTGTCATCATCTGGCTATTTTACCAACATGATAATCTCATATACTTTACTGTTTGGATTTTTCAATTTTATTCCAGGTGTTTCATATTTGTAGACATAGCCATGACATATACAGAAAATCTTAGCAACAGACCATTTGTTGTAACATAGTAAAATTTTTAAAAACACTCTCTCTTTAGGGAGATAAAATGTAGTAGATTCTAGCTTCCACATTATTTTGGTTTCACTGTATTTAGATTTGTGTATAGTTTAACTATATTAAACGGTTTTGATAAAACATTTGAAACTCTAGATTTATATTGGAAATTTTGAGACATAAACACATCAAAATTATAATCTATGTATTATAAAATATCCAGAAATCTGTTATATTGTGACCATTTGTTTCATACCAATTTCTACAGCCAAAGTTGACACTATTCTATACTTAAAGATTATCTTCCTATTTCTGGCCCTATTTTGTCATTTACCCAGGAAATATAAGGGTTTTTGTAGCATCTTAGCAAGTATAAGCATCACTATGTATATCATGTCAGATTTGATATCTATTTTTTAAACACAGTGACACTATCAATAGTCCTTTTTATCTTTCATTCAGATCTTAGTTGGTGAGATTTCTAGAGTTTTAAAACATTAACCTTAACCAAATAAAACTTACCCATATTTCACTTTCAAATCCAAAGAAGCTATGATTGCCTTTTTTTACAGAATTTTTACAGATTAAAACCAGCCACACCAACTTTTCTGTAAATGCTTCCTGTTTGCCCTATATCCCAACTTTCTTCTATAAAAACATGATAATCCTTTTGTAGAAGACTAGATTATTAATAAAACAATAAAAATAAGTCATAGAAATAAGCAGTATTTAAATTGTATGGAAATTGATTCTAGAACTTAGTGAAATTTGATTGCATAGTACAAGAATTTCAATATTTTTATTTCTTGTCTACACCAAGTTAAATTAAAGTTTGGAAAATTTTGTCGTCATCTGGCTATCTTACCAACATGACAATCTCATATACAACTTTACTGTTTGGATTTTTCAATTTTATTCCAGGTGTTTCATATTTGTAGACATAGCTAACCCTTGCTTACAAACTCTCTTATAGTATCAGGAAGGTGATAATCCAATAATAATTTGGAGTGATTATTTCATCCTGCCTCAAAAAGAATAATGGGTGTGTGTATATATATATTGGTTATATTATCCTAATATTTCTGAGCTAAAATATTTAGGTCAAGTAATAAAATGTAATGCCTAATTATATTAAAGAATATTCAGGTACATCCTAAGGCTACTCCCTCAATTTAAGAAAATTTCATTTTGCTGCAGTTACTTTGAAAGTAACATACTGTGTGTTAAGACCCAGTATTCTGTTACTAAAGCACTGGTCAAAATATCATGAAACAATCTATTTAATTCTCAGCTTTTCTGGCATTTTTATGCATACAATTTAATCCTATATTTATTATTCCCACTTATTCAGCATATATCAGGCATTTTTGTTCTAAAACTTTTGTAAATTTCAAGAGTCTGAGAGTTTACTTTGCTTCCAAAAAGGGTTTTCATTAGCTAATTTGTTTTAGGTAATTGTGTTTTTTACCCAAAGGAATTGTTACTTCCATACTACTTTCACTAAATTCTGTGAAGCTTACATTTCTCTGTCTAGATTATAAAATATCGAACAGAGGTAATATGAAAATATATTAATATAACTTCCCCTAAAACTACTGATTAAATTGTGAAACCTTTTTCTTATTTTATAGATAATGTAACATATTCATGATAACAAAAACAACTGCTTTAATAACTATAAAAGATCAATGTTTTGGCTTTTAATTATTGAGGTCCTTTTTATAAGTCATGATATAAAAATGAACAAAGAAATGGAGACTAAAACCTCATTCTTAGCCTCAGATAGTTCTGAAACAACCAGTTTATAAAAGACAGTATATAAAGGAAATGTTTAATTAATATTAAAAAGTATTACCTAAAAAAGTATCTTTTTTCCTTTGGTGTTTTGGGAAAAAAAATCTAAAGAATAATTTAAAGTGTTCATTAATCATTTGAGTGGTTTAGTACTTACAATATGTTTCTTGCTAATCATATTAGGATCTTTGTTTTTAACATGTCTAACTTTGGTACCAAAGCAAAGAATGCTATACGATGTCTACTTATATAACATATATTTAGCAACATGTAAAAGAAAATTTCCTAAATCCTTATTAGTATCTGACCATTATGCAAAATTTTTAAGATACTAATAATACATGTAAATTTTTTCTTCGATATGTAAATACCCGATACTGTCTAGCAAAGTTAACCTCAGTAATATTTTACACAAGCTCCATCCAACAGTTTATGAAAATAGCTTTCAATTAAAATAACATAGTAAATCTCTTTGTCTAAGTAAACTCAGCAACAGTCCTGTGTACCAAAGAAATATTTATGTCTGTGCCCTGCTTATGTTATAATCTTCTGAAAATTTGCTTACTGTTCAGACTTACACATATTTATATATTGAATAATTAAACATCTACCTCAACAAACTTATGGATGATGGGTTTTGATAACTTGGTTTAACTTGGCTAGCCCCATTCTCATTATTCTCAATGTTAAATAATAAGTCTCCACTATTTTTCCATCTGAAATCACGTTGATTTCCTAATTTTTACATTTAGCTATATAATTATACATTTACTAGTTTTTATGCCACAGATCTGATAGCTCCACCTTTAGATAATCTCCTTGGATTATGGAAAAAGGAAGTTCTCCTTAAGCTAGAAAACTAATATTATGACATCAGTTACATCCAAAAATATTTTACTTAAAATTGAATATGAATCAACTCCTTTCTGGAGACTGATTTAATATGAACAATATTAAATAAGAAAAATCTTCCTATTTTAAGGATTAGGTAACCATTACCATTTTATACTAGGTTAGACAATACCATAATGAATGTTAAAAATACTTCCTTTATTCCAAGCAAAAAATACTTCTTCCAACTCTGAAATGGCATGAAAATCCAACCATCAGCTTTCATACAATTAACCATACATATTTTTAATAATTAATTTCATGTTAGTACTTACAATCTTCTTTTATAACACTAAAATAGGCTTTTTACACATTGTAATTTTAATTACATCCCATGTAATGAGTTAAAAACAAAACAGAACTTAGTACTAAAAAGTTCTGTATCTCATTTAAAATATTAGAAGTTTCTAAAAAATAAGTTTTATAGAAATTTAAATATAAAGAGTTAATACACTAATTTCAATTTACCAGGATTGAAGGTTCTTTACTCTATAAAAGCCTTTATAAAAATTTCTTTAATTGACTTCTAAAAATTTCTAAAATATGTTATATAGGACCATTTTTATGATGTATCAGTCTGATACTGCAACAAGTCATAACTTACTCTGCATAAAGAAACTGAAAAGTATCCATCCTGTCTCACTAACTATAGGACTTTGTTGCCTGCATTTAAACAGAATCCTGAAGAAACTTTAAACATAGAATTAAAATTAAGGGGTTTTTTTTGGCCTTCCTACCTAACCAGGATTTTAATACCTTACATATATTTTTAAAGTACATTTTACATAATAACTAAGAGACCTACATAAAAATAGATGCATTACATTTCTTCAAGGTACAACTCATGCCAACAAAATAACTACATTTAATAAAATAATGTGAAACTTAACACTAAGTATTCTTTATGCAATTCATAATAAAGTCTCTAGTTTGAGGGGCTAAGAAAATGTCTCAACTATGATACAAGGTATAATTTATCAGAAATTATCTAATATGTGGTATTTTAGCCAATAAAGGTATATTTGCTTTGGTAATAACTGCAGTCAAAGGGCATTTAATCTGGTTTCTGCAAGCTTGTTAGGAAAGATATTGTAAGAATACAGTAATGTTCAGTAAAGTCATAGAACTTAAATTGTTAGTAATTAAGTTCATTTGTATTAAAACTGTATGTATGAAATGGAAAAGTTTTAGTGTTTGGCCTTTAATAAACTTCTTTGGCTTTGTTACTATAATAGTCAATTCAAATAAACTTGATTATTATTTTCATGTTTAGAGATAAATGTGTATTTAAAGCATTAATTCGTAAAAATATTTCAAAATAACTTAGATTTCATGACTTTTTAACAACATACTTTCAGTTAGAAGAGAAATACTGGATTCTAGAATTTAAAGCACTATTTTGGAAATAATAAAAAATAACTGTAAGGAAAAGGAACAAACTATAGACTCTACCGTTACCATAAAATTTAACAATTTGCATGAGCACACATAAGCAGGTTTAAGATCTAAAGGAAACTACTGCAAGCAAAAGTGAAGTATCCCATATTTCATGAAAAAGGTAAGTTTTTAAGTTTTTATTTTGGTATTCATCTGTTTCATAATCTGTCAAGAGAAACTAATTCCTTATCTTGAAACACTAATGAATTTCAATTAAGGGTCTTATTTATACTTTTTATCCTCAGATCTTTGGATTAAAACATGCCCTCAGTATATATTCAGTGTTTATGATGGTGCATAGACTCTGGCATGGAGAACACATTTCAGTCTCCAATATCCTGTTTTACAAACTGTATAATCCTAGACAAATTACTTAATCTGTCTATGCCTGAGTTTTTTTATCAAAATAGAATATGAAGTATAGAATAATAGAGGCCAGGCGCAGTAGCACACACCTGTTATCCCAGCAGCTCGAGAGGCTGAAATAGGAGGATCACAAGTTCTAAAACCACCCTCAGCAAAAGCAATGTGCTAAGCAACTCAGTGAGACCCTGTCTCTAAATAAAATACAAAATAGGGCTGATGTGGCTTAGTTGTCAAGTGCCCCTGAATTCAATCCCTGGTACTGCGCTCCCCTCCAAAAAAAAAAATTTTTTTAAACTCATAGAGTTAATAGAAAAAGTAAATGAGGGAATAAAATAAGGAACCATTAGTTCTCCTATTACTAATTAGAAAATTTGGCAAAATCATAGCTATATGATTCTTCCCTTTTAATAACCTACTGAGAGGACTTATTGAATAAGCATATTTAGCCAACAACAGTTTAAATTATTATCTTCACAGAGACAAGAATATAAATAGAACAAAACCTTGCCTGCTATGTCTTTTCCTATACTTAGCAGTGATGATACATTTAGTAATAAGCATTAAAGACTGAAATGCAAATGTCTACTATGAATTACCATATTTTCACTTTTTCACCAAATGGTTTTTCTGAACTCATGAGTGGCAATTTTATTTTTAATGCTATTTTCAATATAGCTTTTAACATTTTGAGTTTATAATTGTTATAACTTGGTACATTATTCCTTTTATACTAAGTCCCCTTTATCTTTGGTAATAGTTTTCACCTCATTATAGATTGCCTAATATTAATATTGCTTTCTCAATTTTTGTTGAGTTTAATCTTGAACACTTACCTTTTGACAGGATATTATCATATAAAGTATTTTATTATTCATTTTGTGTTTATTTCTACCCTCATGTTGAGGGTTCTCTGATTATCATATTTTTCCTTTTTCTCTGCTCTTTTTTTCCTCCTTCCCATCTTCTGTTAGATTGAGTTTTCTTTAAACATTTTGTCTGGCTTGCAAGAAATATATCCTACTTCTATTATTTAACATTTACCTAAAATGTGTAACATACTAATTTCATATTAATTTATATAGATTTTTAAATAGAAACTTTAAGACTAGTTTAAAGGAAGCAAAACTACAGAAACTGTTTTATTTAATATGTTCAAAAGTTAAAGTTATTGCCCTTTTAAAAATACCTTAGGATCCGAGCACAGTGGTGAACACCTATAATTCTAGTGGCTCCAGTGGTTGAAGCAAGATGATTTCAAGTTCAAGGCTCTAAGCTACTTAGCAAGACCCTATGTCAAAATTAAAAATTAATAAAAAAAGGGCTGGGGATGTGGATCAGTAGTTAAGTGCTCCTGGGTTCAGTCCCCCATACCAAAATAATAATAATACCATTAGGAAAAAAATGCATAATTGGTCATAACTTTATTATATATATTAAGAGAATAATACAATTATTCCAACCTTTAGCAATCAATCATAATTAATTTTTAAAGATTCATCTCCAGTTAAGTCCCATAAACCAGTGGTTCTTAACTAATGATAGATATACACACAAAATGTGGCCTTGAGAGTAGCCACATAGAGAGGTTGGTACCATTGTCCCAATACCATACACTAAAACAGGTAGCATCCTCCATTTCCATTTATTCCTAGAGCTGTCCCTCCAATTTACCCAGTGAGTCTTTCAGGCCTTCTGCCACTGTTCCATCCAAAAATCTTAATGTCTCAAGGGCAGGGTTCATCTCTCCTTGGAGATATAATTTTCTTCTTGCAGGTGGCATACTTGATTTCCTGAAACATCCTGACATCTCATACCTTCCTGCTCTTATGTGAGGAGCTGAGGATTTTAAAATCCATGGTGAGTAACTGTGCCACAAACAATTCAGTTCATGGCCAAGGGAAAAAATACCATAGTCTTACTTTGCTAACAATCCATGTATGGCTGAACCTCCCAATATCTACTCCAGTTGTCAGGGCCGTAGGAAGATCCTCTTGGTGTGTGGTTCTTCCCAGTTCCTTTCCCTCATCATGAAAATATAAGTAGAAACTAACTAATGAAATGTAGTCTTAAATATAAGTACCTAAATATGCTCAACTATTCTGTAAAATGATTCCCTGATTTCAGAAGATCTATTTTGGGTAATCCAAGACTATCTAAAATCTAAGATAAAGAATCCAATTTTACCTCCAAACTGGTGAGTCCCCTCCTTTCTTCTCAAACTAGTAATTAAAGATGTAGGAATGCCAACTTAGGCTGGGCTTCTATTCTCTGCCTCCAGAAATAAGCCACATTTCATGAAAGGTTAAAAATCCCACTAATTAATCTTATTAACTTAGTTGTTACTGTTCTGGATCCTCTAGTAATACTAACCAAATTATGTTCCTCTTGATAAAATTAACCAATCCTATCCAAAGCTCCTTCAAGAGGAAGGGGCAGAACCAGTTATGCTGTGCAGAATATCCATTAGTTTTGCAAGGAATCTGAAGGGTTTCCTATAGATTCTGTGTTATAACCCCAGTCTGTGCCATAGCTCCCCTCAAACTTGCTGACCCAATACACCTTTGCTACAAAAATAGACATATGGCTATCAATATGTCCATGTCATTCTGGGTGTACTAATATTCACTCTCTAACAAAAGACAAGGAAAGGACCCACCATGGTTTACAGCACCCCAGACCTCGCCAATAAGTGATTCTATATCTAGTTGGACTACAGATTTTAGGACATTGTCTTCAGAAGGCAATTACAGATTATCTACAGCAGCTGTATGCACCAAATCTTAGCCAGGAGGCCTAACCTCCCCTATAACTAAAGATTACACTAGTGCAGGCCAAAATTGCCACTATATACCTGGTAAAGGCAGAACAGTCAGAGATCCAGGAACCCATCCCTACCATAATGCATAAAGGAACTTTGGTACTGTCACTTGCCGCAACTTTATGGTTGTAAGTCATCCTTGTTGGAGGCCTACAACATGAACTACTGGCTAGCTTCACTCCAGTTTCAGAACTTCTCAGATTAAAAAGCTACATCTCAATCATAGGTACATCTTTGGAGGAAAAAAACACCATGCCCAAGGACCCATCTTACAGCCATTAGCCAATGCCTTTCTCAAGTACTCTGGCATCAACTTCATATCCAATTTCTTTTCACATTCCTTATGGAGTCCACAGGTCCTCAAGAAAAAGAATGAGGTCTACTTCTAGAAAAACTGAGATTTCAATGAAATCAGAGATTGTATTTACTTCTTGCTTCTCCTATAGTTACTGGTTTTCCAACTTCTAGGTGCCCAGTCTAAGAGTGTGCTTATAAAACAGGTCTCCATTATATAGTGCTGTCACTTAACATATACTCTGCCAATTACTTCTTACATGACATAGATAGGACTACAGTCTACTAAACTACTGTCTACTGACATCTTATTACTCTCCTAATAGGACAACCTGGGAATACCTGATCTAAACAGTGCTTTGTCCCTCCTGTAACACTGTTCCCAAAATGAATATTTGAGAACCACAATAGTAGTATTTGGAAGAAAATTCTTTATGATAAAGGGACCTACAAGATGCCAAATAAGGTACTAACAGTTCTAGAATAAGAATTCTTAAAGCTAACTTTATTGTCATCTCCCAGAAGTTATTAGGATGCCGTGTGTGTGTGTGTGTGTGTGTGTGTGTGTGTGTGTGTGTGTTTACATAGTACTAGGGATATAACCCTGGGGTCCTTTAAAACTGAGCTATCCTCAGCCTTTTTTATTTTGAGAACAGGGTCTCACTAAGTGCCCAGGGTAGCCTCAAACTTGAAATCCTCCTGCCTCAGCCTCCCAAGTAACTAGGATTACAGTCATGTATCACCACACCTGACAAGACGCCCCTCTTAAAGTGCATGCCCTCCAATTTTAAATGTCACCTGTCCTCCACTTGCCATTCTTAAACTACTGGATCAAACCAAACACAACTGAGTACCCAAATGGTTATCTGTTTTATCAGTAGTGTGCCTCCAATAGAGAATCTGACTGATTCACCTTCCATATCATCACAGAAGTGAGATCCAAGTTACTACACTCCTCCACTCAAAATATCCTGTCTTCTGTAGTAATTATACCCTCTCTTTTTCTGGTTCTCCTATTTTCTTGTACCTCCAGTACTACAAATATCTAAGTTAAGTGTCTGCACAAGTAACAGACTGTAAAAAAGAACTCAATATTAACACCCTCCAACAAACCAACTTCTGTGTATTGATCAGCACTGGGCCGTAAGAAAGATCAATGCAAGATAACTGTGTATTAGTCCATGACAGAAACTATAACAATGCTATAAGAGCACTAACAAAGGCAGAGATTATCATCTCACTGATTTTCCAAATGTTTTCCTTCATTAATGTAAACAAATGACATCTTTCACTCTGCTCTAGTATGTCTTGGTAATTCTAGTAAGTAACCAGAATACAAAAGCCCAAAATGATAACTAAAAAGTCCAAAGGGAACATTTGTAGAAATGGTCCTTCCAACTTTAGAATGCCTTCATTCTTTTCCAAGCAATGTTTCCAAGTAACCAGGAATCCCTCATCTTGATCATTTTAAAGAGAATCTGGAGCTGAATGGTGGCACCTAAAATAAATCTGTGAAAACTACGAGGACAATAGTTTACTTCAGAGTGAGCCCTCTGCTCGTTACCATACAATGAATGGATATTCCAAGGCATGTTCTCATGTTAAATTTTGGCCTAGTTGCCCAATCACCTGAGCTATAACACTGGCTTACTATATTATAGTTACTGTATAAATTGGTACCTTAACATCTTCTCTGTGATATTCTCTTATGGAGCCTTGAAGTTTCCCTAAATCCAGTTTGAGATTCCTGGAGCATTGATCATTTCCTCCCTGCACCATCACCTTCAACAAATGCAACAGAACAGATCTGAATAAGGTACTTATAAACTTTTAAACTTTAATAAGTTAAAACATCAAAAGAATTTAACAGCAAAATCTACTTGAAAGTAAGCAAACTAATATTTATAATTTCTATACAATTTCTAAATTGTATTATTTTGATTCACCAATAAGAAATCAAATTAATATATGTGGATAACAAAATTAAGCCTATAAGAAACAGAAAACATTAAAGTATTTACAAATTGTTAGCTATATCTGTAACCTGTAAAGTTTAAAATTAACATACCAAATTCTGCTAGTTTTATAGTTTATCATATAAACAACTTTATACATTTATGTATTAGCCTATCAATAAGAATAAATGTCAGCCAGCTGTGGTGTCACACATCTGTAATCCCAGTGACAGGCAGGAGGATCACAAGTTCAAGCCAGGCTCAGTAACTTAGCAAGACTCTGTCTCAAAATAAAAAGGGTTGCGGATGTGGCTCAGTGGTTAAGCACCTCTGGGTTCAATCCCTGGTACCAAAAAAAAGGTAATTGTCATTTTTCAGTAGTCTTAAAAAAAAAAAAAAAAACCTGAGGGCTGGGGATGTAGCTCAGTGGTAGAGCACTTGCCTAGCATGCGCAAGGCCCTGGCTTGAATCTCCAACACCACCAAAAAAAGAACTTATCAAAATAGCAGTGGTGGCAAATAATTGTTATTTTAAGAGAGTCAAGATTAGGGATATAGCTCAGTGGTAGAGTGGCTAGCGTGGACAAGGCACCGGGTTTACTCCCCAATACCACACAAATATACACACACACACACACACAAAAAAAAAAAATCCCTTATGATATCTCATCATCAAGAAAAGTATAAAAATTTAAAGCCCAGTGAAATTAGCAGAAAACTTAATTCTGAAACTTCTATTTTAAGTAATTAAGTGTGAGGCTAGAGCCATCTACTGGTTGAAGTGTAATGTTACAAAACACAACTGTTTGGACTGACTGACAAAGTAGGGAGTCCTAGTAGGCATGGAGTTTAAATGAATGAATATGGGCAAAAATCATATGGTTTTTAAAAGAATCTGCAAAAACCCAATGTTAACAAAGTAGGGCTGCCTATAAAAGCTGAGGCTGGGAGGCTCCAACCCCTCTCTCAATAAAAGGAGTCACTGTACTTATTGGCCTGAGAAGCAGAAGTAATGAGAGGTAGTTTGGGCAAACAGATAACATAACTGTGGTTTAAGAGGAGGTATAATGGGGGGAAAATATCAGCAATTTTCTCTCTTACCCACATTTCCCCTAGAGACATCTTAGAACATTGGTGCACAAAAGACAGTGGTTGATGGGCATGGAGAAATGGAAATAGTCTTCACCTGAAAGGCTACAAACCATTGTTCACGGGCACATGGAGTATGTGCTCAGAAAACACTAGTATAACCTTCCTGAAAATGAAAATAACACATTGCTTTTACCCCAAGCCAGTAAGAAATGAGCTTTTAGGTCCTGTGAGCTTTCACCAGCCAAGCCCTGGACTGGTCAAGTCTTGGAAACAAAAGCCCAGTTTCAGGTCCCAACCTCCTCCCTTCAAAAGGACATGGATGTCCATAGAATCGAGGCAAGAAAAAGAGATCTCCAAGTCCCCTCTCTGTAGCAGAGACCCCCAGCCTGGACAGCAACTTGTCAGCTAGGTTTGGGGTAACAGGCTGAAGCAAAGTTGCAAAGACACGCAAACATTCCAAAGCCACATGAAGCACAGTACCCAGCCAGAGAGCATCTGCTGGGCTCTCCCAGTTCAATTTCCACGGTGCATGCCTTTGGACAAAACCATTAGTTTGCCGAACACAGCTGGACACTGCCTCCAGAGCCTTATAGATCTGAAAGTTATCATAATACTCTGCTACCTGCTTGGGCAAACTAGCCATTGCACTCACGAGAGCATAATCCTCTGCCTGAGCACGAACTGATGGTCCCACCAACCCTGGCTTACTAGGGAAGCAGGTAGTGCAAAAGGCTGGATAGGTTCCAGAAGGGTTTATTCTTTTAGCAGTGCATCGGTTCAAAAGACCCCCCAAGGCATCTGCCAGCTCAGAGTCCAGCAACTTAACCACCTTCTCATCGTAGTAGTCACAGTCCCAGCTAGGAACACCCTGCCGAAGAAGAAAATAACGGAAGCCGTCCACAGTATATCGATCAAGGCAAGTCCTGGGATCCACCACGTTGCCCAAGCTCTTGGACATCTTTTGGCCACACACCGTCCAGTGGGAGTGGACATAGATGCGATGTGGTGGGCTCAATCCAGCCCCTAAGAGAAGGGCAGGCCAATAGATGGCATGAAATTTGAGTATATCCTTACCTATGATATGAGATGTGGCTGGCCACCAAGATTTGAACTCAGCATTGGGGTAGCCAATTATGGTGAGGTAGTTGACCAGGGCATCCAGCCATACATAGATGGTCTGTGAATCGTCCCCAGGAACTGGAATGCCCCAGTGCAGGTGGCTGCTCCTTCGAGAAACAGATAGATCTGGTAGCTCCTCCTCCAACCATTGAAGGACTCCGTGATAGAATGGCTCTGGAGTGATGGCCTGAGGGTTGCTTCGCAGCCAACGTTGTAGTGGCTCCTGGAACTGAGAAAGCCTGAAAATATAGTTTTCTTCCTTGGTCCAGGAGACAGGATGCCCGCTCTCGAGAGATACAGGGCAGGAATCCCCCGACGGGCCCGGCTGCCAGGTGACCTTGGCCTCAGGAAGGAAGCACTCGTCAGAGGCGCAATACCAACCTTCATAGAGCCCTTTGTAGAGCAGACCCCGGGACTTCAGCACCCCCCAGAAGTGCTGCACGGCCACCCGGTGCCGGGCCTCCGTGGTGCGGATAAAGTCGGTGGAGGAGATGCCAGCCTTCTGGAAAAGTTGCTGAAACTGGGCAGAGACTCGATCGCACAGCTCAATCGGGGCCACGCCGGCAGTGGCCGCCGCCTGTTGAATTTTCAGACCGTGCTCGTCGGTGCCTGTAGAGAATCGGGTTGCGGCAGTTCTGGGAACTCGGAGGCGACGGTGGCGGCAAAGGGCATCTGCCAAGAGTGCAGAATACAGGTGTCCGATGTGCGGCGCCGCGTTCACGTAGAAAATGGGTGTGGTGAAGTATGCGCGCGTGTCCTGAGGATCATCGCGGGTACACTGAGAACCTGAACCATAGTGGCGTGGGCCAGAACTCTCCAGGAGAGAGACCCTGCGGGTCCCCGAGTATCCCAGCAGCCTGAGGACAGATATTCGCAGCATAGTTCCAGCCGGCCTAAGCTGTGGAGACGGCGTCTTAAACGCACGTGTGAGGGGCGCATGCGCAGCCAAGCCGCCCAGAAGCTTCCGCCCCGAAAACCAATGGAATTCGGCCGTAAGCGCCCGCCCCCGCTCCCATCCTCCACAGGCTCTGCGCCAGTAGATTTCTTGGCGGAAGTCGGCGGGAAAATAGCCCCTTTTCTGTTATAAAATCTTCAGCTCCCTTCTCTTAAATTGTGGTTTTACACTCATGGATCTGTTTCCCTTTCTAGGCAGGACATTCCTCTACATATGCCCTGGTCTATATATGAAAAGTCAATCTAAATTTTATTTCAGAACTTAAACTTAAGGGAAGAATAAGAGCTGAAAAAGTTAGAGAAATATTTTATGTAAACAGTTTTTGCTGAATCAAGATGTAGATTTGATCTGCTAAATCCTTCCCATAGACACTTGAGATCCAGGGAAGTAGACTGCAATGTTGCTGCTGTGCACATAAAGAATAATAATTTTCAAATTTATTTTTCAAGAGGAGTTAATTTTTTTTAATGGTCTTGATAATCTTCTAGGAGTGTTTTTCAAGTTTGCTTTTAGTAATGGGACTCTAGTTTGGGGGCAGGAGAAACCTCAGGAGCCCAGAATTGAAGTAATAGTCTGTAGTTCATAACACACTCTCATATTTGGGTTATACCCTCTCCCCACTTAATTAATACTTCTTTCCTTGTGGTACTGAGAATTGAACCCAGTGCTAGACAAAGGCTTTGCCATTGAATTACATTCCAAGTGCTCCCTCATGTAACTTAGGGGTTCATGATATACATGTAATTAAAAAAAAAAAAAAGGATGGAACAACTGGGTGCGGTGTAATCTCAGCTACTTGTGAAACTGGAGCATCAGGATTGCAAATTGGAGGCCAACCTTAGCAACACAGGTGAAACTCTCAAAAAAAAAAAAAAAGATGTCGCTGTGGTAGAGCTCCCTGGGCTCAATCCCTAGTCAAAAAAAAAGAATGGAGTACCTTGTGAACCCACAATCTAACCAAAGTGAAGTACTAGAAATGGTTCTCAAAGTATCTTCCCCAGGAAAGCAGAAAACTAGAAGCATCTGGAATTTGGTTAGTAATGCACATTCTTAGGCCCCGTTCCCCACATTCTCAAGGCATTCTCCAGGTGATTCTGATGCGTACTAAAGTTTGAGTACCACTAAACTAAGATGAGCAGTGAGTCATGTGTACTGATTTTCTTGTGCTCCTCACTTCCCCAGAGAAGTAATCCCTGTCCTGAATTCTGTATTTGTGCATTCATGTTATCATACATATAATATGTTCGAGTAGCATCATTTAATTTTGTGTTTAAACATTCTTAAAAAGTATATAGTATTACATGAATCTTCAACTCACCTTTTTCATTCAATACTTTCTTACTAAAATTCATCCATGTGGTTGCATGTAACCATAGTTAGTTCATTTTGACGGCTTATTATTTCATACATTATACGAATGAAAGTATATGGGAAGTTGGAACTAATTTCTGTGTTGATATGGAAGGTGGACTAATATAATTCTCTATACCAAAGATAAAACAAATATCCAAAAAAATAATCAGTCAATATGCTCTTATTTGATCCAGCGGTTTAAGAAGAGCAAATAAAGGTCAATCTTAAACTGGGGCAGGGTGAAGGGTGTATGACCTATAATCCCAGTGACTCAGGAGGCTGAGATTCAAGGCCTCAGGCAAGAGAATCACAGATTCAAGGCCAACAAGGGTGGAGAGGGGAGCCCTTTTTGGCGCACATCTGTGATCCTAGCAGCTAAGGAGGCTGAGGTAAGAGGATCACAAGTTCAAAGCTAGTCTCAGCAATTTAGCGAGGCCCTAAGCAACTCAATGAGATCCTGTCTCAACTCAGTGAGACCCTGATTCGAAATAAAATACAAAATAGAGCTAGGGATGTGGCCCAATGGTTAAGTGCCCCTGATTTCAATCCCCAGTACCTGCCCCAAAAAGAAATTTAAAAAAGGGGAAGGATTGGGGATATGACTCAGTGGCAGAGGTCCCTGGGTTCAATCCCCACTACTGCCC